CTTCCTCTTCTCTTTATTGTCCTTCTTCATTTTCCTTTCTTTTTTTGTCTCTTCTTTTTCCTCTCCTTCCATCTTTTTCTTGTCTCTTCTTCCTTTTCCTTTCCTTTTTTTTGTTCTCTTTTTCTCTCCTTCCATTTTCTCTTCTATTGTTCTTCTTCTTTTCCTTTCTTTTTTTTCTTCTCTTTTCTCACCCTCGATCTTCTCTGTATTGTTCTTCTTCCATTTCCTTTCTTTTTTTCTTCTTTTTTCTCTCCTTCCATCTTCTCTGCATTGTCCTTCTTCCATTTCCTTTCTTTTTTTCTTCTCTTTTCTCTCCTTCCATCTTCTCTGTATTGTTCTTCTTCCATTTCCTTTCTTTTTTTTCTTCTCTTTTCTCTCCTTCCATCTTCTCTGTATTGTTCTTCTTCATTTTCTTTTCTTTTTTTTCTTCTCTTTTCTCTCCTTCCATCTTCTTTACATGGTTCTTCTTCCATTTCCTTTCTTTTTTTCTTCTCTTTTCTCTCCTTTCATCTTCTCTGTATTGTTCTTCTTCCTTTTCCTTTCTTTTTTTCCTTCTCTTTTCTCTCTTTCCATCTTCTCTGTATTGTTCTTCTTCATTTTCTTTTCTATTTTCCTTCTCTTTTCTCTCCTTCCATCTTCTCTGTATTGTTCTTCTTCATTTTCCTTTCTTTTTTTTCTTCTCTTTTCTCTCCTTCCATCTTCTCTGTATTGTTCTTCTTCATTTTCTCTTTCTCACTTTTTTTGTCTTTCTCTTTTCTCTCTTCCATCTTCTCTTTATTTGTTTCTTCTTCATTTCCTCCTCTCTTTTTTTTTTGTCTCTTCTCTCTCCTTCCATCTTCTCTTTTTATTGTCTCTTCTTCATTTTCCTTTCTTTTTTTTTTTTCTTTTCTCTCCTTCCATCTTCTCTGTATTGTTCTTCTTCCATTTCCTTTTCTTTTTTTTCTCCTTTTCTCTCTCTTTTTTTCTTCTTCTGTATTTCCTCTTCTTCATTTTATTTTTCTTTTTCTCTTTCTCTCCTCTCTTTTTATTTTCTCTTCTCATTTCTTCTTCTTTTCACTTTTTTTTTTTCTTCTCTTTTCTCTCCTTCTCATCTTTTGTATTGTTCTTCTCTTTTCCTTTCCTTTTTTCTTTTTTTTCTCTCCTTCCATCTTCCTCTCCTCTCCTTTTTCTATTTTTCTTTTCTCTTCTCTTTCCTCTCCTTTTATCTTCTCTTCTTGTTCTTCTTCCTTTTCCTTTCTTTTTTTTCTTCTCTTTTCTCTCCTTCCATTTTTGTCTCTTCTCTTTTCTTCTTCCTTTCACTTTTTTATTTTTCTTCTCCTTTCTCTCCTTCCATCTTCTTTGTATTTCTCTTTTCTCTCTTCCTTTTTTTTTTTTCTCTTTTCTCTCCTTCACTTTTTCTTTGTTTTTCTTCTTCCTTTTCTCTCTCTTTTTTTTTTCTTTTCTCACCCTCCTCTCTTCTCTGTTTTGTTCTTCTTCCATTTCCTTTCTTTTTTTTTCTTTTTCTCTCCTTCCATCTTCTCTGTCTCTCCTTCTTCATTTTCCTTTTCTTTTTTTCTTCTTTTTTTTCTCCTTCCATCTTCTCTCATTGTTTCTTCTTCCTTTTCCTTTCCTTTTTTTGTCTCTTCTCTTTTCTCTCCTTCTCATCTTTATCTTGTATTGTTCTTTTCATTTCCCCTTTCTTTTTTTTCTTCTCTTTTCTCTCCCTCGATCTTCTTTGTCTCTTCTCTTCTTCCATTTCCTTTTTTTTTTCTCTTCTTTTTCTCTCCTCTCACTTTTTATTTTCTCTTCATTGTCCTTCTTCTCATTTTTTTTTTTTCTTCTCTTTTTTCTCTCCTTCCATTTTCTTTGTCTTGTCTCTTCTTCCATTTCCTTTCTTTTTTTTCTTCTCTTTTCCTCTCCTTCCATTTTCTCTCTCTATTGTTCTTCTTCCTTTCTTTTTTTTTTTTTCTTCTCTTTTCCTCTCCTTCTCTTCTTTTTATTTGTTCTTCTCTTTTCATTTCCTTTCTTTTTTCTTGTCTTTTCTCTTTTTCTCTTCTCTCATTGTTTTCTTCCTTTTCTTTTCTTTTTCTCCTTCTCTTTTTCTCTTTCCTCTTCTTGTCTTCTTCTCTCTCCTTCATTTTTATTTTTCTCTTTTCTTTCCTCTTCTCTCCTTTTTATTTGTCTCTGTCTTTTCTTCTTCCTCTCCTTTTATTTTTTCTTCTCTTTTCTCTCCTCTCTTCTTTTATTTGTCTTCTTCTTTCATTTTCTCTTTTTTTTTTTCTCTTTTGTCTCTTCTCATCTTCTCTGTATTCTTCTTCTTTCATTTTTTTTTTTTCTTCTCTTTTTCTCTCCTCTCATCTTCTTTTGTCTTGTCTCTTCTTCATTTTCCTTTTTATTTTTCTCTTCTCTTTTCTCTCCTCTCATCTTTTATCTGTATCTTCTCTTTCTCCTCTCTCACTTTTATTTTTTCTTCTCTTTTCCTCTCTTCCATCTTCTCTGTATTGTTCTTCTTCATTTCCTCTTCACTTTTTTATTTGTCTTTTTCTTTCCTTCCATCTCACTTTTTATTTTCTTCTTCTTTTCCTCTCCTTCACTTTTTTTTGTCTCTTCTCTTTTCTCTCCTCTCCATTTTATTTGTATTGTTCTTTTCCTCTCTTTTCCTTTTTTTTTCTTCTTTCTCTTTTCTCTCCTTGTCTCTTCTCTGTTTCCTCCTTCTTCATTTTTTCTTTTTTCTTCTCTTTTTCTCTCCTCTCATTTTCTCTGTATTGTTCTTCTTCCTTTCCCTTTCTTTTTTTTATTTTCTCTCTTCTCTCCTTCCATCTTCTCTCACTTTTTTCGCTCTTCTCTTTCCTTTTTTCTCACTTTTCTCTTTGTCTCTTCTCTGTTTCCTCTCCTCTCATTTTTTTTCTTTTTTTCTTCTCTTTTCTCTCTCACTTTTCTTTGTATTGTCCTTCTTCCATTTCCTTTTTTTTTTCTCTTCTCTTTTTCTCTCCTTCCATCTTCTCTGTATTTCCTTTTCCTTTTCCTTTTTTTTTTCTCTCTTTTCTTTCCTTCCTCTCACTTTTATTTGTCTCTTCTTCATTTTCCTTTCTTTTTTATCTTCTTTTCTCTCCTTCCATCTTCTCTGTATTGTTCTTCTTCATTTTTTTTTTTTTTCTTCTCTTTTCTCTCCTTCCATCTTCTTTGTCTTGTTCTTCTTTCCTTTCCTTTCTTTTTTTTTTGTCTCTTCTCTTTCCTTCTCTTCTCATTTTTTCTTTTTCTTTTCTTTTTTTTTCTCCTCTCCTTTTATTTGTCTCTTCTATTTTCCTTCTTCCATTTCCTTTTTTTTTCTCTTCTCTTTTCTCTCCTTCCATCTTTTATTTGTCTCTTCTTCTTCTTCCTCTCCTCTTTTTTTTTTTTCTTCTCTTTTCCTCTCCTCTCACTTTTTATTTGTTCTTCTCCTTTTCCTTTCCTTTTTTTTTCTTTCTCTCTCCTTCCATCTTTCTCTGTATTGTTCTTCCTCTCTTTTTTTCTTTTTTTCTCTCTCTTTTTTTGTCTCCTTCCATCTTCTCTCTTTTTATTGTTCTTCTCTTCATTTTTCTCACTTTTTTTTTTCTCTTCTCTTTCCTCTCCTCTCTTCTTTTATTTCCTTCTTCTCATTTCCTTTCTTTTTTTGTTCTCTTTTTCCTCTCCTTCCATCTTCTTTTATTGTTCTTCTTTTCCTTTTCTCTTTTTTTTTTTCTCTTCTCTTTCCTCTCCTCTCCATCTTTTTATTTGTCTCTTCTCTTTTCTCTTTTTTTTTCTTCTTTTTTCTTTTCCTTCCATCTTCTCTTATTGTCTCTTCTTCATTTTTCTCTTTTTTTTTTTTCTCTTTTCTCTCCTTCCATCTTCTCTCTATTGTTCTTTTATTTTTCTCTTCTTTTTTTTTTCTCTTTTCTCTCCTTTTTATTTTCTCTTCTCTTTTCTCTTCATTTTCTTTTTTTTTTTTTCTCTTTCTTTCCTTCCATCTTCTCTGTATTGTCCTTCTTCCCTTTCCTTTTTATTTTTTTCTTCTCTTTTCTCTCCTTCCATCTTTATCTGTATTGTTCTCTTTTTTCCTTTTCCTTTCTTTTTTCTCTTCTCTTTTCTCTCCTTCCATTTTCTTTGTATTGTTCTTCTTTCCTTTCCTTTTTTTTTTTCTTCTCTTTTCTCTCCTTCTCATCTTCTGTATTTGTTCTTCTTCATTTTCTCCTTTCTTTTTTTTTGTCTTCTTCTTTTTCTCTCTTCCATCTTCTCTTGTATTGTTCTTCTTCATTTTCTTTTTCTTTCTTTTTTTTCTCTTTTCTCTCCTTCCATCTTCTCTGTATTGTTCTTCTTTCATTTCTTTTCTTTTTTTTTTTCTCTTTCTCTCCTTCCTTCTTCTCTGTTTTATGTTCTTCTTCATTTTCTTTTCTTTTTTTTTCTCTTTTCTCTCCTTCCATCTTCTCTGTTTGTTCTTTCTTTTCCTTTTCCTTTTTTTTTTTCTCTTTTCTCTCCTTCCATCTTCTCTGTATTGTTCTTCTTCATTTTCTTTTCTTTTTTTCTTCTCTTTTCTCTCCTTCCATCTTCTCTGTATTGTTCTTCTTCATTTTCCTTTCTTTTTTTCTTCTCTTTTCTCTCCTTCCATCTTCTCTGCATTGATCTTCTTCATTTTCCTTTTTTTTTTCTTCTCTTTTCTCTCCTTCCATCTTCTCCGTATTGTTCTTCTTCATTTTCGTTTCTTTTTTCTTCTCTTTTCTATCCTTCGCTCTTCTGTTTATTGCTTTTCTTCTCTCACGTTGTTTTCTTTTTTTTTTTCTCTCCCTCCCTCTTCTCTCTATTCTTCTTCTTCCCTCTCATTTATTGTTTTCTCTCCCTTTTTTTAGTTTTTCTCTCTTCTCTCCCTCCCTCATTTCTGTATTGTTTTTCTTCATTCTTGTTCTTTTCTCTCCTTCCCTCTTTTTATTAATTACAATTTCATTTCTCTCCTTATCGTTTTCTTCTTCCCATTTTTCCTTTCTTTCTCTTTATTCGCATCTCACTTCATGAGCTTTCTTTTACTTCTTTTTTTACAATTTGTACTTCTTTTTCTACTTCTTTTTCTTTGCCTTTTTACAGTTTGCCTTTCTTCTTCTTCTTCTTATTATTATTATTATTATTATTATTATTTCCTTTATTGTCTATGATTATGTGGTCGTGAGGTTACCAAGGTTCTTTTTCATTTCTTATTTTTTTTTTTTTACTAATTTGGTTAATTTGAATGTTTTTTGTACATTTATATAAAGGAGCCTTTGGGTAGATTATTTTCGGAAACCCTTGATATCAGCATATGTACTGCTTTAGGCTCGTTCGACCTTTCCAAACAAAGGTCATGTTATGAGTATTGTCTAGCGTCATTGTCAACAGCTAGAGTAGCACTATCATAAATGAGAATTTATGATAACGATTATGATGATGATGATGATGATAGGTTTACTGCCACTGGCAGCAGCATCACCATCACTACTTCAGAATCGTTTCCCCTCCTCTTCTCGTCTTAATGAAAGGTGAGAAGGTGTAACATTATCACCACCGATATTAGTGTTTTCTTCTATTTGCTCAGCAATAATCGTGGCAAGTGTATTTATAAATTATGTATCTAATTTGTTCATACTTCTTACTATATTAGAGTCATTCTCTTACGCCGACTACGCCAGGTGGCGGTGTCTTTGTTATGACAATCCGAAAATATTTATAAAGTGGCGAGAAGATCGAATAAAAGACATAACAAAATATATTATAATGATAACTGATGGATACAAAAGACTGACCCATAATGATAGGGAGGTCAGATCTTTCCTTTCTTTCACAAGAAGACGAAAAGTTTGAAGAAGAAGAAGACGAAGAAGTTAAAAAAATGGTGAAGAAGAAGATGAGGATGAAGATGAAGAACCAGAAGAAAAAAAGACGAAGAAGATGGGGAAGAAGACAAAGAAGAAGAAAAGAGGAAGAAGAAGTTAAAAAGATGAAGATGATGATGAAGAAGAAAAAGAAGAAAAACTCGACGAAGAAGAAGACGGTAAAGAAGTAGAAGAAAAAGAAAAGACAACAAAGATAATGAAGACGAGGAAGTAGAAGAAAAGACGAAGAAGTAGGAAAATACGATGAAAACGATGAAGAAAAAGACGAAGAAGAAAATGTAGAAGAAGAAAGAGAAGAAGAAGTAGGTGAAGAAGAAAAACACGACAACGATGATGAATAAAAAACGAAGAAGACGAGGGAGAAGACAACGAGAAAGAAAAAACGAAGAAGTTGAATAAGATGCAAAAGATGAGGATAAAGAAGAAGAAGTAGAAGAAAAAGACGATGAAGAAGAAAACGAGGAAGAAAAAGAAAAAGAAGATGAACAACAACAACAACAAGATGAATAAGACGAAGATGATAAAAACGAAGATAAAGAAGACGAGGAAGAGAAGAAAAAAGAAAAAAGCGAAGAAAACGAAGAATAAAACGAAGAAAAAGAAGGCGACGAGGAAGAAGTAGACGACGAAGAAATAAAGACAAAGACGAAGAAAAAGAAGTTGAAGAAGATAACGAAGAAAAAGTAGAAAAGACGAAGAAGAAGACGAAGAAAAAGAAAAGAAGATAAAGATGAATATGATGACGAAGAAGATGAAGAAAAAGAAGAAAAGACTAACTCGAAGAAGCAGAAGAAGTAGCAGAAGAAGTAGAAGAAGATGAGGAAGATGAAGAAGATGATGATGATGAAGAAGAAGAAGTAACACAAACCAAAATAAGCCTATTCGTCAGATATTTAAAGAGAGAGATGAAGGGAATTGTAAACGAAATGACATGGACGTGGCTGAAAAGAGGACACTTGAAAAGATAAACTGAATTCCTCTTGATGTTAACCCTGAATAATTCCATATTTGAACCAAAATAGACATGGCGCAACAAAAGTGTAAAAACAGACCTGTAGATATAAAGTTGAAACAATCCGTCATAGAATAAGCAAGTAGGCTAAAATGAAATTCCAAAATAGACATGACTGGGTAGGAAAGGGAATCAGTTTAGAATTGTGCAAATGACTGATATTTAAATATACAAACCAAAAACTGTCGTAGAAAAAAAAAAAAAAATACTAAAAATATTTTTCCAACTTCGACATTCAAATTGACCACCTCCATCTAGGTCAGTGATGTATCGTATCGGTGATATTACTGTGATTGACCAAAGCTGGAAAAATATATTGCCAGAAAATTTGGACAAGTACGTTGCTGAAATGATAGAAAAGGAACTCGATAGAAATGCAGTAAAAAAAAAATATTTTCTCGTTAAGCTGGAAAAGGACATCGCTAGAAAAGCTGGGAATGCACCTTGGTAGAAACGACAGAAATCACCGTTGCTAGTAAAAACTGAACAAGCACATTGCTAAAATAGTTAGAAATACTAACTAAATTGCCAAAAAAAAAAAACTGGAAAGGCATCTAGCTGGAGAATAGGATGAAGCAACCCACCATGATAGCTGGAAATACACCTCAGGAGAAAAACCGGGAAAAGCATCGTGCTAGAAAAAAAATGGGAAAACGTACCTTGCTAAAAAAAAAATAAAATAAAATAAAATGAAAAAAACTGAAAAATATATCGTTAGAAATGCTAGAAAAGTTAGCACATTACTAGAAAAAATAGAAAATAATCTTGCTAGAAAAGGATCTTGCTAAAAAAAGCTAGAAAAGCATCTTAGAAAAATTATCTTGCTTGAAAAACTGGAAAATATCCCGTCAGAAAAGATGGAAAACACTACAAGAAAACACTGGGAAAGCACATTAGTAGACAAGATGAAAAGGCACCTCGCTAAAAAAGTATAGAAAAACTGGAAAAGCACATTACTAGAAAAGCTAATAATAATAATAATAATAATAATAATAATAATTATTATTATTATTATTATTATTATTATTATTATTTCATTATGAATAAACATTAGCTCTAATACAATTCTTTTAGCGTTTAGGGTTAAAGATGGAGAGTCAATTGGAATTATTAAAATCTTTTTTCTTTTTTTCGGAGATTAAAAAGTCTGTGATTCAAAAATTGTGCTTCCTATCATCAAAAATTGATATTAAAATGTTGATCAATTAAGGGCGACTAATGTGCAGATTTCGTCTGTTTCATCTTTGAAAATGTCTTCTCAGATAAATACGGAAATGAATAGTCGAATAAAAAATTTTCAAGTAGAATATCCTTCACGTGGGCGACATTCGTAAAAATCAGTTTATATTCTCTACTTTATGTCTATCCTTGGCACTTGATTGCAAATCTTCAAGTTTCAATTGTAAGGCCACAATGGTGAATAAAAAAAATTCTTTAAATCTTACACAAAATAATATTTACGGAAAAATAAAATAAAAATTATTTCAGAATAATCAAATATTCCTTTCCTGTGGTCGAAGTGCAGGAGGAAATGTCTTAGCAGACCGATTTGGGCCTGAGAGCCATAGTTCGCTGATCTTTATTAATATCCGTTAAAAAAGTGGAAACTTTCGAAATCCAAGCAAGAATTTAGGCAATACAGACCAAATGACTTTTACAATCTGTGAGAATTCATAAGAGGATGCTGGAATTTTAAAGAAACTGACATTTATTTGATCGTCTTCTCATAAAGAATGACTGGTGATGGAAACGCAAATCCTTATAATAATCAATGATACCATGCAGATCAATAGTATATACACAGGCCAGAAATCGATCCAAAAGAATGAAAGACAAAATATATTGGGAGAAGTTGAATTTAAAACGGCTAACGCGATCCATATTACAAAGAGATCATCAATCCTGAAAGGTTAATACTTGCTTTCTTTTTTTTCTTTTTCTTTTTATTTTATTTACTTTTTTTCTTTTTATTTTCTTTATTCGGTGTCGTTAAAAGGTTTGTATTGTACTTTTAATTGATATATATATATATATATATATATATATATATATATATATATATATATATATATATATATATATATATATATGCACGGTTCTTATTGGAAAGTGGTCAATATCAGTGATCGAGCTAACATATTCAGTTTTTTCTAATGATCGCAAAAGCGTGAAAGCCAGGGTTACAAACTCGTATCCATACAACTGAATATTTATATGTATGTGTGTGGGTACTTGCATATATATATATATATATATATATATATATATATATATATATATATATATATACAATTATGAATATATATGCATATATTCATATTAATATATATGCATATATTTAATAACTTGAGAAAAGTAATTGTTCTAGTTAGTCGACTCAAGACTTTGAAGTTTGGCATTTATACGCTCATCTGCGCCAGCTGTTTGATAAATCTATTGAGCTTATCAAACACCTGGCCCCCGTGAATATTTTGATGCGAAACTCTGGAGTTGCCGCACCATCTAAGTCACTTGAACCTTTGTGAATTTATTCAATATTATACCATTCAAAGAGGAAGGTTAATACCTGCTTTCTTTTTTTATTATATGGTGCCGTTAAAAGGTTCATATTGTAATGTTCATTTTATTGAAGTCAATACTGTAATCAATCCTTTTTGTTTCATATATTTATAATCCATATTATTCAGATTCTCTATTTGAGAAGGATATTATAACAATTCAAAATTTATACTGGGAGAAAACTGCCTACATTAGAATAAAAAAGAATTAAGTCAGTGCACAAAAATAGAAGCGGCGAGTAAGACAAGGAGGTGTCTTCTCGCCGGATTTATTCAACCTTTACAGCGAAGCTATCCTAATGGGGCTGGAAAATTCTTTACCATTGTCCCTAACTCCCTGATTACAATAGGCACAATAGATAACTTTTTAGCAATTCCTTATTCTCTTGATTTCGAATTGTATAGTCTGTAGAGTTGTCGACTTTCCTTCTTTCTTGTCTACTCTGATATCAATGAGGTGACAATCTCGCTCTTCTTTGCTGGAAACAATTATGTCCGGATGTGAATGTTCAATGATTATCCGTTTGAAATTTCATGTCCAATAAAATCATTATTATTTTTATTTTATTTCCTTTGATTTCTAGTGTGTACACATTTCTTTGCGGGCCCCGCTCAGGGACCTAAGGTCATAAATGGCATCATGACATTTTCCACTAACCAATTAAACAAAAATCATATTTTACATAGCTAAAGCCCTTCGAAAGATGTGGGTTTTACTCGTGAGAACAATTTTTTTTTATTTCTTTAAGGCATGTTCTTCCAGGAATCCCTTCAGTGAGTCTACTGGAATCTTTTCCAACTGACCCCGAGGGCTCCAACTACAACAGGGGTTGTTGATGTTCCCATGTGCCACATTTTTGAGATTTCGATTTCAAGGTTTTTGTATTTTGATAGCTTTTTGAAGATATTATTATTATTATTTTTATTTTATTTGATTTCTGGCGTTTACACATTTCTTTCCGGGTCCCGCTCAGGGACCTTAGGTTAGAAATTGCGTCATGACACTTTCCACTGACAAAAAAAAAAAAAAAAAAAAAAAAAAAGAATTAAATTACATAGATAAAGCCCTTCGTAAGGTGTGGACTGTACTTGTCAGAACAATTTTTTGTATCTCCTTGAGGCATAGACTTCCAGGAATCCCTTCAATTAGCCCTTGCAATCTTTTCCAACCAGTCCTAGGGCTCCAACTACAACAGGGATTGTTGATGTTACCATATGCCACATTTTCGAGATTTCTATTTCAAGGTCCTTGTATTTTGACAACTTTTTGAATATCTTCAAAGATACATTGCAGTCAACAGGGACTGCCATATCAATAAGGAGGCACCGTTTTTGTTTGTGGTCTTTAATAACAATATCTGGCCGGTTGGCCTTGATTGTTCTGTCAGTGTGTATTGTGTAGTCCCATAGAATTGTAACAGGTCCTATCTCCGTAACCGGGTCTGGGTGGTGTTCATACCAGTTTCTTTCAGTTTCCTTCCCGTAGAAGTTGCAGATTTTCCAGTGCAGATATTGGCCCACTCTGTCATGTCGGGTTTTATATTCAATGGGTGCCAATACCGTACAACCTGATACTATTATTATTATTATTCCTTAATTGAATGTTAACGTCAGTTGTTATTGTTGGCTTACACTGAAGATCATTATTATTATTTTTATCGTTATTAAAATATATATGATCGTTATTAAAGGAATTCAAATAACATTAAGTTCCCTTGGCATTTTCACAGATTTTAACACAGGCTTCTGAAAATTTTTGGACCCATCCAATTCCCAAATTCTGGTCGAAGAATTTGACTCCATTTTGTTTAAACAGCTTCTTGGTCCGGTTGAGAACATTTCACCACCATCTCCTGTTACTATCATTGTTGTTGTTGTGTTTATACATCTTGTATTTGTATATGAAAATGACCATCAGAAGTAACACCGAGTCTTCTCAAATCTTTAGCACTTCTCGGTAGTGTAGCAGACCCCAGCAATGCCGTGGTCTATAAAGTTTCAAACTGTTCCTTTGATTACCAAATTCATCTAAGCTCAGCTCGATTTCTTTTTTCTTTTTTCTATTAGTACCACATGAACTTCATATTCTATATCTTTCTTAGATATCGAGCAAAGTCCTGGTATTTTCTACTTTCTCACTCTCCTTCGTTTACTCTATGGTCCGTTGCCAGTGCTATGTCCAAGATATGACGGATTAATTGCTCAAATATTATTGCCTGAAAATCGAGTGACAAGTCTGTTCAAAGCCCCTGCACTTTTTTAAAAGTACAACCGAAGGCCTAGACAGACATTCTTTTTCTCGTTCGCAACACTCAGAACCTTTCTTTTCTTTCTTACATGGTCTGATGAGGCTGTATTTCACTTGGGCTGCAAATCCAATACGTCTACGACATATTCGAGACTAAAATAATTATGTATTTAACTATGACGCAGATGGTCAGTGTCTGAACAGAATTGATTAGCCAAGAATTAATGATGATTTTTAAAGCAAACAGGTATTCAAAAGCTATTTTTCTCATACTGGCCTTTTCTATACACGCCTTCAAATACACACACCCAGTCCATATACAGTTATGTGCAAAAATGTTCGGCCATTTTAAACTATTATACATTTTTAATAATTGTCATCTTATAAGTGGCCAATTTTTAGTGTATTGTCTACTGATAAAACTCTGACGGCATTGAAGCCATTTTCAAACCTAATTATCATATTTAAGCAGGGGTGCTGGAGATGCGTGGAAGAGTAGAGATGACCCTTCACCCAAAAAATATTTACATGGACGGGTGTATTCTATGTCTTTGCTGGATACAGAACTGTCGCAAATATTTTAAAAGTAAAAGATACACCCATAAAGAAGTATTACCCCACATTTTTTCATGTTTCAGCACAATCTTCAGGCAATGTTTTCAAATGGTTTGAAGATTATGTTTACGTATGAATCAGACTATCGCCGCTTAGTGTTGACCTCACAGTCGACTTTTTTTATTTACATATACACTATCTCTGATATTGTGCACTTTTACCCATAAATATATATATACTTCAAAACTATATTTTTATCATATATAGATATACATCATTATAGTAATTCATCGAGTCTAGAAGAATCCTCAACAGAATGAAGAAATTACTGGACAGCCGTTTCGTCCTATTTTGGGACTCATCAGCAGTACGCATCCACTACCGAGATTCGAACCCGGACCGTTTCGATACAACGGAAGCGTCATATCAACTGTACCAACATATATAGATAGAGCGTGTTCGGGGGGCTCTTAGGGAACAATCCGTTAGGTTATGGATACTTGGATGAGTATCACCACAGAATTTGTGAGTAGCGGCGCTATATCGAGTCTATTCAGTTTCTTCTTCGTCAGTTGGTACAGTTGGTATGACGTTTGCGGTTTCGAATCTCGGTAGTGGATGCCAACTGCTGATGAGTCCCAAAATAAGACGAAACGGTTGCATTCTGCTGAGAATTCTTCTAGACTCGATGAATTACTATAATGATTTCCCAAATTTCTATTACTTATACATAGGTGTGTGTGCATGTGTAAAAATTTCATATAGAGTATATCTTTAAAAGGAGTATATGAATAAAGACAAAATGCAAACTTATCTTAGCCGACGCATTTCATCCTCTGAGGTATATTTGCTTTGATAAACTAAAACGATGACGAAACGCGTTGTCTATATATATATATATTTCGTAAAAACTCTCCAAAATCATACTTAGTTACCTCCCCTTAAACGGTGTCAGCGATCATGCGCTGACCCAGCGTTCTTCACTCCACAAGTAAGAAATTTAACTTTTAGATGAGCACAACAATTTTAGGCAATAATGAATACTACAATATCTGTCTTGCAATAAACAATACCCTGACGATGACCTTGTCCTATGTCGAAAATACTCAGAATAAAAGAAATATATATCAACACCTCGATTTTCTCTCGTCCTTCAATAACGACACCGAAAAGCTTATCTGTGAATATGAAATGATCCGACTGAAAATAAGTAGACGGGACATGTCTAAATTGTTCAACAAATCATGTCTCAATATATATATATATATATATATATATATATATATATATATATATATATATATATATATATATATAAGTGTGATAAATCAGATTCAGTGAGACATACAAGCACAGACACACACATTTTCAACCATTCATTTATCAAATATGGCGCCGTCAATGCAGCCATCTTACTTGTCTCCTTTTATCCCAGTTTTTATTCCTATCATATTTTGTAATTTACTCGCAGACCGGCAAACGACGTTCACAAGTACCCCCCCGTTTGTCCGGCATTTATCTGTGCAAAGGATTTGCGAGCATTAGGTAAAGGGGTGGGGCTCTCTGCCCCTGCCCAGGCCAATTGGCACAAACGTCCTCACGGCGTCGAGTGGGACTCTGTAGTGAACATACTTGCGTCGGTCCTTATCGTCTCAAACACGGACGCCGAGTTCCTTCACTTCCGGCGAACGACTAAAGAACCTTCACACGCCGAAACGCCCTACCCCCCTCCTTTACTCCCCTGGCCCCCAATGTCTACTGCTCCTTTTCGCAGTCCTTCTTCCAACACATGCAGCAACATCAGTACACGGTTTGACTCGTTCCTCCCAGCGTGCGACTATGTAGGTATGTTTCTCTGTCTCTCTCGCCCAGAAATTTTCATAGTTTTACATTTGCTAAAGTCGCCCGAAGGGGAAAGGACCTGATGGAAAATAATGAAACGTGTCATGGGTTGGTATCGATCCAGCACTTCTATAAAGTTGAATATATATTTGAGTTCGTATATGTGCAGCCACACACACGTTTACACAGAAAACACATATATATATATATATATATATATATATATATATATATATATATATATATATATATATATATATATCGAAATGGGAGAACAAATGGAGTACAAATCCGCAGTTCGTAGCATTTACTTTTTTAAAGTGCTCAATACAAAGTAGAGTAAAATACTATTTTTATTATAAGAGATTATAATTTGGTTGGTTAATAATTTGTTACCAGTTACCAATCATCGCGTGTGGAAGTACAATCATAGTATTGAAACAAAAGCTTTTGTCTAGCTATTTAAATTTTTTTTATTATAATCTCTTATAATAAAAATCTTATAATAATATATATATATATATATATATATATATATATATATATAAGAGGATTGATATACAAAGTGATATATTCACGCAAATATACACAATGTGTAATGAATATTCTGTTTAGAGTATTCTGGCTACTGTAAAAGGCGTACTTTGCAATCACAGAACTCACTATATTAAATGACTAACCTGCGAGATGAGCTAATTGACCATCGCGATATGTCAGGCTTTTGAGTTTGACATATCGCTATGGATACAAAAATATATTTTATAATCATTTTTCTCGAAGCAAATTGATAATGCTACTAAGAGCCAAGTGCTTACTGGGTGTGAAAGAGAATGAGAAGACCACAGGAGAAGGGACCGGAAACCGAATCCTAGACATATGTACAGAGTACACACATCTGTGAGGTAGTGATTAACAAGTTAGTCTTTGTGCCCCTGGCTGTTCTTATGCTAATTTTGATTTTCACTGCGACCCCTATATCGCGAGATGATGAAACTAAACCTAAAGGAAAAAAAATTATTCATGTTGGGGAGAAGATGGTGTATTTGCTGAGAAATTTGAATAATGTGACCTTACTGATAGTCGAACACTGGCCACTGATACAAGACATAAACTTGCCTATATTGTTTCTGTCAAGAAATCTGTCTTCGACCCTGCATTAAATATTGCTTCCTCATCTTCTGTTACCATAGGAAAAAAAAAAAAAAAAGTGACAACATTATCGGTACTGACCTGGCATCTCTGTTTTCGGTCGCTTTCCCACTTTTGCCTCTACAATAAATATTTTTACTGTTAATTGTTCTGATGAGCTTTTGCCGTTGTGAACTCGTGTAAACGAATTCCAACGGAGATTAACAGCTAGGTCTCATCATTTCACTGTTGAAACTGATGGTTGTAACCGTAAGTTCTATGCTAATAGTTTCTTCTCTCGCACTTCTCGCTTGCGGAAATTTCTTTCAGTTTCCTGCTTTCCTGGCAACTACGATCTTCAGAAACCTTATTTCAAAATATTCTTTTATTCCCCTCTCTGTTTCTTTTAATGTCAATAATAGATAGTTTTAGATCCTTTTATTGTCTTGATTGTGTCAAAGGAATTAGTTTGATATATATATATATTAATTTATTTAGTTTAGAGAAAGACATAGAGAGTGTGTCTAACACATTCATATACGTCTGACAATTTAATTTCTATGTCTTTCTATTAAGTTCTTTCTTTTTACTTTCTTTCTCACTTTCTATTCTCTTTGCCCCTTTTCTTTTCTCTTTATATATATCTTTCGACATAAAATATATCCCTCACTATCTATCTATCTCAATCCCAGACCTTTCTTTCTTTCTTTCTTTCTTTCTTTCCATCTACATATCTATCTGTATGTCTGTCTATCTATCCATGTATCTATCTGTTATAGTCTGTTCATATCTATCTCAGTCTGTACGTATCTATCTATCTATCTATCTATCTATCTATCTATCTATCTATCTATCTGTCTATCTATCCATCTATCGATCTGTTATAGTCTGTTCATATCTATCTATCTATCTCAGTCTGTTCGTATCTATCTATCTATCTATCTATCTATCTATCTATCTATCTATCTATCTATCTATCTATCTCAATCCCAGTCTGTTCTATCTGTCATAGTCTGTTCATTTATCCTATTTATCTACATGTCTTCTCTCTGACCAACTCAGACATTTCATATCTCTCTATCTATCTATCTATATATATATATATATATATATATATATATATATGAGTATAGATTTATCTCTCTTCATATATATGTATGTATGCAGGTATCTGTCTGTCTGTATCTATCTATCTATCTATCTATCTATCTATCTATCTATCTATCTATCTATATATATATATATATATATGTGTGTGTGTGTGTGTGTCCATATCTATCTATCTATCTGTTACAGTCTGTTCACACACACACACACATATATATATTGATTTGCTTCGAGAAAAATGATTACAAAATATATTTTTGTATCTATGTTTATTTTATCTTACTTTCACTTTATATAATTCTATATATATCGTTCCGTTTTTTTATATCTGTCTATATAAGTTTTATCTGTGTTTATCTTTTTATCCTCTCCTTCTGTTCACACACATATATATATATATATATATATATATATATATATATATATATATATATATATATATATATATATATATTCAGTTCATATCTATTTTCTATCTATCTTAATACATTTACAATTGTCTCAATCTGTTTTCATCTATCTATCTTTCTACATATATATGAGTATAGATTTATCTCTGTTCATATGTATGTATATATGTATGTATATATATGTCTCTATATATATATATATATATATATATATATATATATATATATATATATATATATATATATATATATATATATGTATGTCCATATCTATCTATCTCAGACTGTTCATATCTATCTATCTCAGTTTATTCTTTTCTATCTATCTCAGTTTATTCTTTTGTGTCTATCTATCTATCTATCTGTTACAGTCTGTTCATATCTATCTATCTATCTCAGTTTATTCTTTTCTATCTATCTATCTATCTATCTATCTGTCTGTCTGTCTGTCTGTACTGTCTGTTTGTGACTCTGTCTCTCTGTCTATCTATCTATCTATCTATCTGTTACAGTCTGTTCATATCTATCTCAGTTTATTCTTTTCTATCTATCTATCTATCTATCTATCTATCTATCTATCTATCTGTCTGTCTGTCTCTCTGTCTGTCTATCTATCTATCTGTTACAGTCTGTTCATATTTATCTATCTATCTATCTCAGTTTATTCTTTTCTATCTATCTATCTATCTATCTGTCTATCTATCTATCTATCTATTTATCTGTTACAGTCTGTTCATATCTATCTATCTCAGTTTATTCTTTTCTATCTATCTATCTACCTATCTATCTATCTATCTGTCTGTCTGTCTGTCTGTCTCTCTGTCTACTATCTACCTATCTATCTATCTGTTACAGTCTGTTCATATCTATCTATCTATCTATCTATCTCAGTTTATTCTTTTCTATCTATCTATCTATCTATCTATCTATCTATCTATCTATCTATCTGTTCACATCTATCTATCCATCTGTCTGTTTTTCGTATGTAGGTAGAGTTCATAAGCGTGTAAGCAAAGTGGAAATGGGAAATATAAACAGAGACAGACGTTGTAGGTTTGCCAACCCATGTGTCTATGAGCGCAGACGCAAAGAAATTGTCTCTCGTTTAATGGATGCACAAGAGGAAACACCTTTGCGGTGAGGGCATTTGCCTCGTTGTAGAAGCAAGAGGAACTTGGAATAGGAAGAATGGAACGCGGCAGCGGTTGTTACAAAAGATAAGAGAGTAAAAACGAGCAGGGGGGGGGAAGCGAGGACGAAAATGGCTGGAACGGAGACAGGGAAGAGCATCTCCCCGACGAAGGTGAGATTTAAGGGCATTCATCGACGAGTTTCTTATCAAGTTTACTGACCCACATATTACACTGGTGGTTGGTGGGGGGTTTGGGAATGATAGTAGAAGAGGGACTCGGTCGGGGTATCAAGATGACCAGATCGATAATGGTGGCTAATGGGATGTCGATGATAAGGTGTGAAGGAGGATGAAAAGAAAAAGAGAATGACAAAAGAGATGGTGGGACGGGGGAGTTAAAGGAAATTAAAACAGAAAGATGACAGCGAAGAAAAGGAAACGAAAGAGGAAATAAAAGAGACTAGTGAGAAGGAAAATAAATAAAAAGAAAATGGAAATAATTATTTGCAAGAAGAAAAGACAACGTTGAATTAAAGTGAACAAGGAAATGGTGGGAAAAAAGAAAACACTAAAAAAAGGAAGAAAGAAGAATAAATGAGATAGGGAGAAGAATAAGAAAGAGAAAAGGATGAGATAAAAGAAGAAAATATTGATGAAGAAGAAGAAGAAGAAGAAGAAGAAGAAGAAGAAGAAGAAGAAGAAGAAGAAAGAGGATGGTGTCGAGAAGAAAACGAATTGGAACATATAGTTTTAAAAGATAAAAAAGAAAAAAAAAACGAAAAGACCGACAGAAAAAGAAGACGAAAACAAAGAAATAAATGAAGAAAAAGAAATAAAAGAAAAGAAAAAGAGGAAGAAAATAAAAAACAAAAGAAAAACAGGAATTGAAAAAGAAAAGGAATGAAAATATAAAAACATAACACGTAAGTAAAGAAAGATAAGAAAAAAGAGAAATAAAGAAGAAAAGCAATGAGGAAATATGAACGAAATAATAACAAGTGGGGGGAGTTGAAATGTAAGAAAGAGAAAATCAATATAAAGAGTTAGAGAGACAGAGAGAGATTAAGAGAGTGAGAGTGAGGGAAGACTAAGAGAGATCAAAGAAATATTGACATCATATTCCCTGTACATTTCGATTGAGCAAGAAAGTTCTTCAACAGGGAAAGATGAAGTAGATGAAAATGAAGAAGAGAAGAAGCGAATGAAAAAGAAGGAGAGAAAAGAAAAAGAAAAATGAAAAAGAAGAAGAAAAAAGAACGAGAAAGAATCAAATGAGAAAAATAACAAAAAAATAGAAAAAGTGAATGAAATAGAATAAGAGAAAGAAGTAGCGAATGAAAGAGATTAAGAAAAGAAAAATGAAGGGAATGAAAAAGAATAAGAAAACAACGAATAAAAAAGTGCATAAAAGGAATGAGAAAAAAGAGAATGAAATAGAATAAAAAAGAACAATGAAAATAGAGTCAAAAACTACAACGAAAAGAGGAGGAGAAAACTACAAGAGAAAGAAAAGAAAATCTATAGAAGAAAGAAAATAGAAAACAAATTGGGAATGAAAGAAGAATGAATAATCTTTTGAAAAAGGATAATACGAACTAATGTTTAAATGAGAAATAAAGATGATAATTTATTATTAAAAAAAAGAACGGGAGAAAGAAAGAGAGAGAAAGACAGAAAGGAAGAAAGTCAGTAAACAAGAAAGAAAACGAAAGAAAAAATAACTGGTAACCAAGAAGCGAGGAATGAATGAAAGACACGAAACGCAAAAAGAGAGAGAAAGTAAGAATCTAAAAGCGAAAGAAAATTACACAGAAAGAAGAAAGAAAGAGAAGACAAGAAGGAATGTCAAAGAACAAGAAAGAAACATTTTTCGAAGAAGAAAGAAGTGAACGAAAAAAAAATTAATGCAATAAAATGAATTAAAAATTGAATAAATAATAAAAACATTGATAGAATTCACAATCGAGGGAAAAACGTAAAGGAGATCTGAACAATGGAAGTTGAATATTTACGAAATACTGAAATGGTGAAAGAAAAGTAAAAATAAGTGCGAATAAAAATGTAGAATGAATATGAAAAACAAAGCAAGAATGAAATGAAAGCAAAATCCTTTTATTATTCGCAAGAAAAAAGAACGAGAGAGAGAAACGTAAAAATAATATTTGCAGCTGAAACAGAAAATAAGAGCGAGAATTCGTGAAAGTGACTGAAAAGTGAAAACAACAAGGAAATCAGTTTTTAAAAGAAGCGGCAAAGGATTTAAAATCCTGGAAAACTGAACCCAATAATAGCAAAGAGAAGGGAAAGCGGAAAACTATCAGATCTTTTTGGATTGTGTCCAATCATTGCATCCTGTTCTGGATTGTGGCTAGAATATGCCGCATCGCGAAATCACTGCAGCCACAACCTTCATTGGCCAAGCTAAGGATTTCTTTATTCAAAGACAACCTCTCTATCTATCTCCCTTACTCTCTTTGAGTGCATCTTTCTCCCAAGAGGGCAACGTAAGGGGTCAGGAATACGCTGGCATATTGGCCCGGAATAGCATACCAACTGACCTGGAACTATCTGCTGTTGAACTTCCCCACTTGAGACGATACATCACCATCAAAGTCATTATTCCTTTTCATCATGATAATCATCATCATTATTATCTTTATTTCCGTCATCATCATCAACGTCATCATCATCATCATGATCATTAACAACTTTTCTTTTCTCCTACTTCGACCTCCAGCATCTTCATCGCTACCATCATCATTTGCAGTATCTCCCCAGACATAGTTGCCAGGATTATTACCACCTCATTAATAACAGAACTTCAATATTATTATTGTCACGGGGATCGTTATTACGATGACCGTCGTCATCACTTGGCGCAGCAGCGTCAACCATCAGTCCATTAGCATTTTTATCGCCGAGCCATTTCTAGCTACAGAATCAGTAAAACGAGTTCAATTCCTGCTTAAGACTGATTTATATATATATATATATATATATATATATATATATATATATATATATATATATATGTCTAATATCACGAAGAATGTTGAAAACCCAAGCCTACCTGTCCCGTCGCCAGTCATCTCAGTCAGATTTTTTCTTCTTTGTATTTTTAAAACTTATAAACTTTTCCAAAAATCAAATAAAGTTCATCCTATTTAAGTATCATCTTATCATAAGTATCAACCCTTTAAAATAATTAGGGAAATTGATATTATATCTAGACATTTGGGATACATATAAACAACAGTTCAAAAGTTTGAGACCACCACTGGTATTTTTTTTTAAATTGACCCCAAAAGACGTTGTTTTGTACTTTAAATAAAAGAAATTTATTAAATATGGTTTTAAAAAAATGAGACATGATTTTTTTTTTATTAGAAAAATAATAATTAATAATAATTAAGAAAAAAAGACATTTTATGATTAAATTTTTCTCTCGCTAAAATATCCTTCTTTAGTTTTGATCACTCCAGCACACATTTTTGGCATTCGTTGCGAAAATTACTCAAAGTCTGATAATCAATTCTTTTTTTTTTCAATGACTCTAAGAACTCTTTTTCATTTTTTTTTTTTTTTTTTTTTCACTTCTGTCAAGTTCATCCCATGCTAACTCTGTGGTGGGGGTGACTTCAAACTTTTGCAATGCAGTATACGTCTTAACTATTTACAGTATTTACATGAAGACTATTGTCCTCATCTTTGTTGTTGTTACAACAGCGTTTCGGTCGTTGTACCCTAGGCAAGACTTCATCAGGTGTCTTGTCGATCTAGTTAACCTTCAGGGAATTTTGAGCTGAACACTTTATTTAATCTACGTGATAGATTCTTCTCATTCAGCTGACTATGTCTAGGGATATTTCGTCTAGTCTTTATTTATTGCTTTCTTTACTAACGTCTCCCATATTGTATTTATTTCTATGTTAGGCTTACTGGGGAGATCCTTATAGCCTATTAGATGATTCTTAACAGGCGTCTGACACTGTCTAGTATTTTTAATTCATTTAATTTCTTTCCATACATGATCAGCCATGCCTGATTTCATTGCCTCACCCCTAATTACGATTGTTCCTCCAGCCTTACTTTTAGAGGGTGATTAGTTTCACCATCATCCAAACTACGAGAAATGGAATGCCCACAGATCTTGGTCATGTTCCCCTCTATGTTAGGCAGAGATTACTCCGTGGGGTGAAGTTGATTCTGAATGCTATCCTGATGTTGTATAGACCGCAGATCTTCCGATAACCCATTTGCGTAAAGAAGACGGACTGTGGCAATTTTCTGGTCCATCCTTCTGTTTCTTCGAGCAGTAACTAATGTTATGTCTTAACTATCGCTATAATTATCATAAATTATTATCATTACAGCCGGCATGACAAGTTGCCGCTGTTCTTGTGTAGGCTGTGTCCGTTCATGACTTGGCTGATCATGCCTTCCTCAGCTTCTTAGCTCTTGAAGCTCTTAGTATTTTTTAAACTTTTGCTATTGTTACCAGTACTTGTTCTGCCATCCATTTACAGAAGCTTATTAGGTAAGTTACTCGATGTTTTGCTCTGTCCATCGTACTTTCAATATGTCCTGTGTGTGTCAGATTCTCCTGGTCCTCTTTCTTCATTATGTTCCCTAGAAATGTCAACTATCACTTTCTGATTCTAATAATAAGCGTCCTTTTTGTTCCGATTCTCCTTAAAAGTTCCTCGTTACTCACATATTCCGTCCAGAGTATTCTCAGCATCCTTCTGTAGAACGAAATTTCTGTTGCCGCAAGTATTTTGAGTGAGAAAATTGTTCAGAATTCACTTACATATAGGACGATTAACGGTACATAACGGTTGAGAATACTTTTCTTTG